GGTGTTGCATTTGGGTTGGCTTTCCTTCTCTGCCTCAACTCGTATCTTTGATCTTCTATCATGTAGGGCCACAACGACGTTGGTTCCCAAGAGAACGGGAGTGGATTTTCGAAAGTCTGTGGTGGCACCACAAAGGCAGGCACATCACAGATTGTCTGACCCAAAACAACAATGACCAGCATGATGTAACCGCCATGCAGGACACTCTGGCCACTCGCTCCATAGATAAGAACATCTGTTTTGCATATGACTTTATCTTGCAGTTTGGGGTGTGTTGACATGTACTGATCTGTGATCGTAGTCACCTGCAATCCAGTGTCCAACAGAGCCTGACATGTCTGCCCAGCCACAGTAACACGAGTAGTGCTCACAGGACCCACAATGTGCTCATCTGCTGATTTCTGTTCCCTATTGCTTTCTAAGCCCTGTGAGGCAATCATACATATCTCCTCCACTTTGTCGTCTGGGCTTCTCAGCTCCAAATTACCCTGTAATCGCCCCTCATCAGTTGGTATCTCTAGTTTAACTGCTGCCTGCCTTAACCATTCTGCTGGGGACAGTGGTGAGAAAAATGGCCTGGTGCCCCACACACGTAGTAACAGTTGTCATGCCTATGCAAAGTGGATGGGCCTGTTGATTGTCTCCATGTTTGCTGATTCACCTGGCTACCTGAGATGCGTCCTTCCAGTTCCTGTACTCATTGACCAAGGTATTGCTGCCCTTGTATCAAATGGTCCAATGTGGTTAACTGCAGTTAGACTAGGGTGGTCAGTTCGGTGACCTGGTCACTGGTGAACTTACTTTTACTTGATTTGGAATTGCCTGCATTCTGGTTGCCTCGCTGATTTGTCTTGCCTTGCCCCTGTGCTGTCCCAGTTGTTTCTCCTTTGACTGTTTGTTGGTGCAACTGGAAACGTTGCTGTTTCATATCCCTCGCCTGGTGAAGTTCTTTGCTAATCAACTGTAGTTCCTGACGGAGATCTTTGAAGCTCATGCGTCGACGCCACATCGGAGCAAGTCACTGCTTCATAGTTTCATCTCAAAGGCCTGTCATGAACTGTGTCGTCGGTAGCGAATCTCGGTCTTCAAAGAGTGATACTTTCCTTCCTTGTCTTCCCTGAACATCTTCTGTGTGCCTTAACAGTGCCTCCAATGCAATTGCAAACTCAGTTGGGTTCTCATCCAGTCGCTGCCTGGAAGAATGTAGCGATTGACATCACTGCAGTACAGCCCTCCCCGAATTCCTCTAGTTCTGTAACAGCTGCCTCTGCTTTCGTTTCTCCTCCTCGACTCTCAAGATTTAAAAATGACATCGCGTGCTTTCCCCTCGCCACTTCATGGAACTGCACCTGGCTTGGTTGTGGTCCCTCAAGCCTCAAGCCTCAAGCAAGTATGACATGTCACATGCCCAATCTTCAACTTTATACCATGATTCTCAGAGGTTGACCTTGAGAACAAATCGCAACGTCTTTGACCTGATGAGTTGGTATATGCAAACGGTACATGGCACTCGGCAACTGGAAGGGGTTGATCAAAACTGGCCAACTGTAGGGGAACAAGGTTCTGCTGGTCAGAGAGTCCTGTTTGATGAGGGTGGGACCGGATTGGTGTCAAGGAACTCCTCAAATCCTTCAAATGACTTGGCTGCTGAAGACTTGGCACATACTTACTGGTGTTTGACGGGAGAGAGAGTTCGTGGTGGTCCTCTGACACCATCTGGGGAGGCTGCATCTTTGTGGATTGATCACCTCTGGCTTGGATCTGCTCACTGGGTGTGACCCTTGGTTGCGACAGCTGGAAGAGTGGACTTGCTTGTGGCATCATGGGTAGTGGCAGAAGAGGGCTATCGTCCGGGCCATAGTATGGTAGGTTGGAGTCAGGTTGGCAGCATGGAGTTGATGCCATCATGCACCACAAGAGCTCCCCACCTTATGACACTGTGCTGGGCTGATGAATTTTTATTTTTTTTTTACCATACAAACAAATTGTCACAGTTTTCACGAAGACAATTTTCTCGTTGGATTTCAAAACAGAGGTTTTGAGAAAATCACATTTGAAGTTGGTCTCTTTTTCAAAAGCTTAATTTCGTAGAATTTAGCGTTCCTGTAAAATCACCAATGGTACTCCATGAAAGAGCGGATGTTACATGACACCAAACTACAAACCTATTTTTTTTAGAAGTAAATAAAGCTGTTTATTTTGTAAACAAACAAGATTGTCTGTTCTTGAAATGCTAAAATTCGTATGACTTTTGGTCTCTTCGTGCAAATGGCACACACAGTACATGCTCTTGCTATGACACGTGTGCCATGTGCAACATTGTTACATTTGTATACATTTCTGGAGTCAAATTGTCTTTCCATAAAAACTGTGACAAAATGGCTAAATTCCTAGGAAAATTGGTCTTCCCGGGTTCTGGCTCCAAAAAAAAAGTAGAGACAAAAATGTATCCTAGAAATTTGCATCATTAAATTAATTACATGAGACTTTGAGAAAGTTACGAGATCTGAAGACACCTGATTCATGAGAACTGGGTCACGATTGCTTTTGAGGGTCAGGACAAGATAAAAAAGAAAGAATTTGACAGTTGGCCAATGAACTTTAACTGAGATCCATCTTTTACTAATACTGGCCGTACAAAGAAAAAAATAGTTCTCTCCTGTGGTCCTCTATAATATATGAAATGCGTACTTGACTAAAGTAAAAAAAGGGGGGAAAAAGTGGTAACAACTCAACACAGTGCCACAAGTGGATTACTTGAGTGATCAATCAGACACAAGCCCAGCTGCAACTGGAGACAAAAGCATACAAGTGCAAATGTGGGAAGGATGAAGAGAGCTGGGAGTGGTAATGCTCACTCTTCAGTAGCACGCACGAAACTGAATAGTTAACCGCAGGAGGCTTAATAAGCAGTGCTAACTATAGGATGATACAGGGTACCAGACAAGTTGCTGACTAAACTAAGGAAGTTTGTAAAAGAAAAAGTGTCCCCCCAAAATATTTAAATCTCCCTTCCACACACACACGGCACAGCGGAGCTTTAGGGGAAGTTTGAAAACTATTTCACATGTGGCAGTGAATTCAACGTTGGTGAATTTTGCCCGGTACCCGTGTGTGTACTGGTTTCATATACATTTTGTAGGACACGAGGCATAGTCATCGAGTGGTTACAAAATAGCCGTTGCTCAAGCCTGTATGAGAACTGCGCGCTCGCTGCACATACACAATAGTTGGGGGGTGATAGTTGGCCGGTCTATGATAATCGTCATTGTGAACATGTTCCTAAAGCATTTGCGACCAATTTACCCCCTTCCCCAGCGTACGGTTTGTGGGTTCATGAAAATAACAAAAATAGATGACCCCTTACTCATTTTATAGTTCTTTTGCTCATTTACATTGCTCCTTTACTCATTTTCATTTTGTTCCTTCCATGAGTACATGTAAATGAGAAAAGTCCAGAATTGGAAGACAATGCCACCTACCAAGATTGGCTGGCTGAAGCCAGGGAAAGAAATATGGACATGTGGGATGTAAAATATGACAAGTACGTCAACAAAGGCATGGATGAAGATCACGTCAAGCAAAAGGTGAACAGAAAGACCCTCTAGGCAGTCAAACAACACTTTTTCGACAACTATAAGGAGTTTCTGTCAAATTTCACACATTTGAAGGATAATGAAACTCACCAAGACATTGTGGACAAGCTCAAAGAAAAACTTAATAAAGGCATGGAATTCAACAAAGCCTTGAATAGGGTTATGCTTAACCCCTTCACGCCGGGATTATTTTGCTGGGCTGTGTTATGCCTTGAATGGACGGCTTTGTCCAGCAGCAGGCCTCATTGAACCAGCAGCTGCATGGTGAATAGACTGTATGTGTGGTATGCACTTATCCTCACACAATGGTGCGGTAGTAGCAGTCCTCTGTAGCAATTTGATGGACTAAAATATGGTTCCAGAAGGAAATGAGTGCATGTAGTGCCTCTGATATGAAATTCAACAAACTGATGGTAATCACTCCTGTAGTAATTCTTAAAATTAGTGTGATGATTGTAAAAAAAAATGATGAAAAAAGAAGAGAAATAAAAACAGTGCTTGAATCAGTATGTGTAGGCTACTGAATTTGGTTTGTGTTCTTACTGACCCGTATGACTATTGAGTAATAATTCTCGGGTCAGATACCGGCTGGGAACTTCTGCACATTATTCCATAGCACAATGGGTAAATTTGCCTCTTTGCTATGTGTGCAAATCTGAACTGACATCTTGCCACCGTGATGTATCTGTTCTATATGTACTCCATACTAAAGATCAACGGTAACACTCCACTGTTTGAATTTGCAAAAACCGTATACATGGACATAAAACAATAGTTCAAAACATAAAAAAATTCAGTCACAGCCAAAACCATGTACACGTACAGGGTAATACGACGTAAAATACTAGTTTAAAGGATTAAGAAATTCAGCAGGGGCCAGCTGGGCCTTCTTCCTGTATCGATCCGGTTTTCTCCATAACCATAGTGAGCCAAGCGCAAGACCTTTAAAATGTGCCTGCCCTATCATGTAGTGTCCAAGAATTAAATCAGACTGAAGCTCACTCTGGAGTACACACTAGTACACACAGTGCCGTTTGCAGTTTGTCCGAAAAATTATCCCCATTACTCAGCGTCGTGCACAGTCCTTTGTCCTAAAGGTTATCCTTATTACCAGGTGCCGCTTGCAGCCCATTGTCGAACCTAATTTTATCATTGAATTGCATGATGTTATGCCATTTTTGCTCGTAGGAAAGGTCAAACTGTGCCACAGTTTCTTATATTTCTATTCATCCCTTACAAAAGATCAAACTGTACTTTAATTTTTACCCTACCCTCTGTGTAATTTATTTCTAACCATATAAAAGGTCAATGTGCGCCAGAATTTTTAAACACATTTTCATATATTCATATCATGCGCATATTATTATGCTTATGCATATTTATGTTCTTTTCATATTTCTATAGCAAAGGTCAAAATGTGCTGCATTGTCCCCCCCTCCACTACTGAGGTAAAACTTTGTGTTTGTATTGGGTTGATGATGTAACAGGAAGAAGGCTCAACACGAATGCATTAAGCATGCATGAAGTTTGATACATGTAAACTGGCATCGTTGAGGCCCAAATGCACTAAAACAAGGAGTCTACGGCGCTTTACCTACCCAAACAGTCACTACATGAGCAAACTTCCCATGCGTGTATAGCTATTTGCTGAAAAGACTTAATCATCCGAGGTGCCCCTTAACCTCCAACTATGCACTGCAGTCATGCCACCGTGTTCGTCTTTCTTTTGTCAGCCCCGTGTTGCAACAGACGTGTCCTTTAGACATCTTCGAGTTTTTCGAGTTCCGTTTTGGCTACATGGTCCTGTGTCAACTTGAAGCATCCGATCTTCTATCCCGAATAAACTATTACCTTGTATGGTTTTAATCTTGGTGTAACTGCCTTTTTTTTTTTTTATTTTCTCTTCTCTTTTTCTGTGTGCATTCTGCAGGTGTTTACCGTCAGTGTTACAAGGAGCGGTCAACCCTGCAGTCTCCATAGGGCTTGCCGCTTGGGTGGGCACTTCACACATTAGCGGCCCATTTAATCCACAAAATCCCTAGCTGCATGAGAGAGTGGAATGTAATTTTAGCATTTTTTCTTGTCCAACCACTTGAGTGGGCACTCCATTATTTAAGCAGCTGTTCGTGGATAGAGGCGTTCCTTTATAAAGCAGTCAGACAGGGAGGACTAGCCACTTGAGTGATACACTCCTATTTGGATCTGACAAGAATATGTGTCTTAGCTGCAAATGGGAGACTTCCCATTGGGACATCCCCTGTTCAGCAGTCAAGCACAGAACCGACTGAAGGAGCAGATTGAGCCTGCGTTGTTCAATGGAGCTCCAATCTTATAGAGAATGAGGGCAAAGGTCAAGCCGTATGAGTGGGCACTCCGTATTCAAGGTGGCTCATATGAGGACTCAGGCCTTAACGGCGAGCTTGGATACCCCCTTGGAACATTCCTGACTCATTACCATTTTTTCTCTCTGCCCTCCAACACACAACTGAGTTAACAAGCCATCGTCTCCACCGATAGCTCAGAAAAGCCTGCGGGGCAACCAATCATCCCCCCACCACCTGCAACGGCTACCATCACCGTAGCTTTTCAGCACGCAAAGCTGCTTCTTCGGTATCATCGACTGAGAAGACATCTAGTCAGCCTAAAACCAGTAATGCCAGGATGGGCACTCTGCACTCCATCAGGTCCAGCCTGCCCAATACCTCCTTGGTCCATGGTACCATGACATCCAACAAAAACTCACCGGGTATTGTGGAGCCCACCAGGCTACTACGCTGCCATGGTTTTCGACCTCCACAAGCCATACGTGATTTTGGCTTTCAGCTTGGTATTCCCAGTAAACCGGACTTTCTACGGCTGGTCCATTGCCCCAAGACAATGACACCTGCAACAGCCAAGCTTCCAATTGCCTGCCGGGGGACAGGCCTCTCCACATCGGCCACCAGTTCAGCCCCACATTCCAGGCCCATGGGCAAGCGTTCTTCTTTTTCATCGGTTTCTTCGAAAACGAAGAAGAGATGCCAGTCAAAGCAAGTCAGGAGTCTCCACCTAAACCATGCATGACAGCATTTCAGTCTATTAATGAATCTCTGTCCGCCCTCGTCCACTGTCTGAGCAGTAAATCCCTGCCGGCTTCTACTGCTCCGGACGTGGACTTACTTCCCAGGGATCCTCCACCTTCAACCCATTCTGCAGTCACACATGACTACTCAGAGCGTGGAACTCACTGACGCTTACACTAATCCAGCACTGTCCCTCCAGAACACTCTGCAACATACAGAAGCATCCATGGGTCTGACCTTAACAGGGCTATGCTTCAGTCCAAGCAACAGGCCACGTCGTTGGAGGAAGATGACATCAACTCTGTTAACAAGCTTACCCATTCTGAAGGACATCTTTGTTTTCTTCAATGAGACATGATCCAGGTCCTCGGTCTTCCAGTGCCTTCTCCTCCAGAACTGGACACCAGACATGCTTCCTTTAAGGGACGGCGACCATTTAGACCCGGTTTGAAAAGGGCCCCCCGGTAGCCCACCCGTTATAATGCCTGCCCAGTATTCAGGCTGCTCCAGGCCGGTATCAGGCCTGTCTGCACATTGGCATTTCAAAGTCCCTGATGAAAGGCTTCCCCCACCATGCTTCCACAGATGAATAGGGGTCTAAGCGGATTAGTGTAAACATTGTATAGAGCTGAAGGATTAAAAACCACAAGCACGTTCCTTCTGGGCTAGATTACATGTACCAATACTTGCAGACAATAGACCCCAGGATGGAGAAGTTCGAGATCAACAACCAGTCCAGCATCCAAGGCCGGTAGCCAGGCCGGTATGAAAGGGGTTTTTGCAACAGGGCGAGCTTACCGGGGGGCCCTTTTCAAACCGGGTTGCCAGCCCTAAGCATAATGTAACCAGGTTGGAATCTTCGGATCCAACTTTTGGAGAAATCTGGCTTGACTGTTCCTGCATTGAGATTTTCAATTCAATCTGTAAGTTCCCACGCTGGCAGCCTCATCCCTCCCCCCGGGCCTTGGCATATTACCGCTTTCCTTCCTTCCTTTCCTTCTGGTAACCAATGACCCCGGCCTAAGGGCAAACTCAGCCCCACTGGCCTCAGAACCCTAAGCCACCGCCAACTATGGCATACTCCTCTCAACACTCTGCAACTGACCCAGCTTCAAGCCCTCCACTCACACCTCAACCAGGTCAAACCAAACCTGATCGGGTTGAGGATCTTCATCGCGTACCTCTTGCTCCTTTGGGGGATGTTGTCGAAGACTACATCACTTCACCTTCAGCGGCTGCCGATTCAGAACCTGTCGGCCATTGTCTACAGAGGTTTCCAGGGTTCTGGCAAGAGATCACCTCAGACAGCTGGGTCCTGTCAACTTTTGCATACGGTTACTTCCTCAAGTTTATGAGTACCCTCCATCTGAAGTGATACTACGTCCGACCCCAGTGCCATGCAAGAGAAGCAAATGCCTGGCCATGGAGGCTGATCTATACTCCCTGCTCCAGAAACAAGCCATCAGTCACGTTCAACCCAACCACATTAGGAATGCCTGGTGTCCACCTTCTTTCTTACTCCCAACAAGTGGCGACCAATCATCAATCTCAAGCCACTCAACAAGTAAATCTGCCCCAAGAAAATGCGGATGGAAATCATACTGACATCGTCCTGGCATCAATGATCGACCTCCGGGATGCTTATCTACACATTCCCATCCTCAAAGCAGATTGCAAGTTTCCTCGGTTCATGTACAAGAGAAATGATGTACAAATTTGGAGCCCAACCTTTTGGCCCTTCAGCGTCACCCAGAGTTTTAATCGGCTGGCGAAAACTGTTGTCATGCATCTGCAACTGCTGGATGTGTTAATTTTCCATTATCTTGATGACTGGCTGATAGTAGGCCACACCCTAGAGGAGGCCGTATAGTCAACTTGCTTAGCCTACGATCTTTCTTCCCACCTTGGCTTCATCATCAATTGGGAAAAGTCGAGTCTCGACCTCCACAGGAACATTATCACCCCGTCGGCCAAATGCATTACCAACCTCCGGGAGTGTGTGTCCCTTTTTCGCTCAACTCAGTTACCACCAGCCATCACTTGGCTTCGACTCCTTGGGCTGATGGTGAGCATGGTTGATCTAGTACCTTGGTGCAGGCTTCGTATGAGACCTCTTCAGCTCCATCTGCTCTCCTGTTACCGACCCAAGCCAGACCCCATCAGTCACTTTGTTCCCGTATTGGAGGATATCTGCCGGGATCTACTATAGTGGTTAGAGGAACATCAGCTGATAGCCAGCCTGCTGTTCCTACACGCAAAACCTTATGTAGTGATAACAACCGACGTGTCGTCTCTGGGTTGGGGCCGGGCTTCCCTCCCTCCTCACCAGATCTCGGGAACCTGGCCCCCTCCATCTAGGTGAACTACATCAATGTCTTAGAACTCCAAGCGGTATTCCATGCTTTGCAACGCTTCCTTCAATACATCAAAGGGAAGGACGTCCTGGTATGTTTGGACAATTCAACAGCAGTAGCATCATCAGGGCGGCACTCGATCTCTCCAGGTGTGCACTCTCACGTGGGAGATTCTAGAGTGGATAAGAGAACATGCAGTCAACCTGCAAGCGCTCCACATCGCTGGGCCCAACAACACAATAGCAGACGCACTCTCTCGCTGCAAAATATGCCCAACGGAATGGACTCATCCAGACATGGTCAAGATCCTCTTCACAATGATAGAGAGGCCACACATTGATCTCTTCGCTTCACTGGACAACTATTAACTTTTGTTTTTTTACAGGAGAACTTCACACCCCAAGCTTGGGCCATGGACTTCCTACAAATTGATTGGTTGGACCCTCTGGGGTATGCCTTCCCATCCATATCCCTATTGTTCTCTCCCAAATCAAGTGCAAACATTGCCGGATACTTCTGGTTGCCCCATTCTGGCCGTGCCAGTCCTGGTTCCCCAGATTAACAAGGCTCCTGCTGCGCCAACTGCTGGTACTCGCAGACAGACGAGACATTCTTCATTAACCCAAATCAAGAATTATGCATCCGGCACCAAGGGATCTACACTTAATTTGCTGGACGTTGTCTGACAATTCTTCTGCTCGGCGGGACTTTTTAGCAATGCTGTAGCCATGGCCACATGGGGAAGATACCTGTACACCCGCAAGATTTACGATAGCAGAATACAGCATTTCGCCAAGTGGTGTGACAAAGAGGCTTTGGCTCCAACTGACGCCCTTTTGAGTGCCACCACTGATTTCCTTATATACGTATTAGAGTCCGGGCTGCAGGTCTCTACAATTTGTAATTACAGGTCAGCCCCATCTGCTATTGATGTTGGCTTCAGAGATGGTTCCGCCATTTCTAACAACTTGGTGCTTCACCACCTGAAGTGGGATGTTCATACAATGTCCTTTCACTAAGAAACTGGTTGTG